TAGAAATACATGGCTGTCACAAATTCTTTATCGCAAAATTCTATAACTTTTCCCTCTTATTTTCAGACAAAATTTCATAATTTTCCTTAATACTTTCAATAACACTTTGAAATTTTTTGTATTTTCGTCCTGATCTGAAAATCGTTAAATAATTTAACATAGCTATTAATGCTGCTGACACTGCTTGTATTTAATTGGTGTGTAGTATTTCTAAACTGCGTAGGTGTGATGTATTCATATTAAAATTCTTTAAAATCAAGAATTTTAATTTTACAGAAAATTTTGCAAAATTCCTCCCTGAATTTTCCCTGATTTCTTTGACCGTGATATTTCCCTGATTTCCTGAATTTTGTAACAATCCTGATGTTACATATACAAAATTCGTCCCTAGAGGGTCAAAAACAGTATGAAATATAAGAATCAACTATAAATACCAGCGTTAAAGACTCTTTAAGAACCTTTGTCTTTAAGAATATCGAAAATTGGAATTGAAATCCTAAAAATATCGTCCTTGAAATTCATTTTTATAGGCAACCTAAGTAAAACATTGAAGGAGACAATCGATATTTATTTAAATTGCCTTGAAATTCGAAAATAATGAAAGGATTGGAAATCGATGGTAGCCATAGGAGTACGTCGGTACCTCATAAAATCTGTTGCGCCACAGTATTCACTTTATTCTGCACTTCGGGCTTCCGAGGGAATAGTCGAGTATCTCATTCCAGCTATCAATGGAAAGGCCGACGAATTATTGCACTGGTCGGTATTTATCCGACGGATTATCCACGATTACTTGACTCGTGCGGCCGGGAAACCCGCACGCCCGAGTGTAAGGCCAACACTGTCGAAAATTAACCGATCCCGTTCAAGGGTGGTTTGGCAGTTTGCGACATTTTTGCGCGGTTTTCGCGAATTCACCGCAGATTGGGAAACATTGGTCGAAACCTCTCGACGAGGCTCGTTAACTCAATACCTCGAATGCGAGCTGGAGAAAGAATAAATTGAACACGCGCGAACAATTCTCGCAATTTGTCAAGTTCAAGACGAAGATCACGACGAACCTACACGTTAATCCGCCAGTTAATCCGAAGCGTTAGACGCGACGGCTTTGGACCGTTGGTTGGATTAAATACGAAACGTCTGACAGAAGATACTAACCATGCTCCACGTAATAACTGGTCTCGTTGTACCGCTCGTCCGTGAATCCCGGCCTCTTCGCTTTCAGTGCTTTCGTTTCCAATTTTGCCTGGAACAAAGAACGCAGTAGATAAGTGACCGGAATGGTCAGCCCATGGCTGCTGCATGCAACTTCGCGGTATCCGGTATACATGGAATAACTACGGTATACACGGACGTGAAAGACATAAAACAATAGAGATTCGTGAAACAATAGCGGGGCTTTGACACTGAAAAAAGATAGTCAAAAATGACGAGAATGGATAAATGTCATTCTTGGTGATAATGACGCAAAAATATATGGTGAGAATATCCCTAGCTATCAAGCGTCCTTAACTTCGAGAGAGCAAATTGTATTTTTGCCGGTAACGCGACCACGTTCTAGTTTTTACTCTGTTGAATAATATCCGCGGCAAAAATCGCGGTTATGTCGGATTTATGGCGGACCCGATTAAAAACGGAGATATACATGCCGACGTTATTTGTCACTTGCGACTGAAATAAAGGGCGTAGTAGATAAGTGGAAGAGCTAGTCAGACTGGCGGCTCCATACGCCGCGTACACGAGAGAGCCTGACGTATGGCGACGATAAATTTATCATACAAAAAATGCAAGCGTTTCCAGACAATAAGAGGGCACGGGACCACGCGACAACAGCGGGTAGTAGAAAATAGAAACTTACGGCGCGGTTTCGCGCGCATTGTGGCCCGCAGCAAGCTGGCATCCGTTTATTGAATTAACATGTAGACGTTTATTTATGGCGTTTATTTACGAGAAAGAATTACGCGGGAATCTCGTCCGTCAAAATGGATCGGTCGCAAAGAATGGCGGTACGACGGACGTTTTGAAAATGCATTATAGAATTTAAGATCTCATTAAGAGAAAGCACCAGCGTGCACCGATATGAATCCCGATAGCGACGATAAATCTTTCAAACGACCAAAAGTTCTATCGTCCGCACCGCGAAAACCCGCGAAATTTTCTTAACGGCACGCTCGACACGTGCTCGCTGAAAGAAATGGCCTCAAATTTAGTTCATTTTGTGGCTGAATTTTGAATCAAATTGTATGCCAAACGATGCTATATGAAGAGATATAAATCTCAGAAAAAAAATTAAGTTGAGCATGGACTTAGTTTTGTAGGTAAAAAAAGATGTTTAGGAGACTTTTTTGTGCAGAATTTCAAGACAAATAACTTTTATCCTAAACATATTTTCGTGTGTTCGTTTTTGAAAAATTTAACTAAAATTTTTTGGAAGTAGTTTCATTTTTTTTTTTTTTTTAATTAAACAATAAGATTGGAGGAATCAGAAAAGTATTCTAACTAATTCTAGTCAAAATCCTACTATTCAAAGAAATATTAACTTTCTTTTTGTGTCTAAGCGCTCGAACAATATTGGAAACATTGAGAATTTTACCAATTTAACTCCCTATTTTGATTCTCCAAAACTACTCTTATGCTAAATTTACATTTCTTCTGAAATTAATGTCCCGTCACTCTCTTAAATCTTTGAAGTGGAATCTGATTCTAAAAAGAGTAAAATCTCATTCTTAAAAATTGACAACTAAGCCACTCTTTTTCAACACTGGCTCAATTGTCACTCTTTGGTATTCATAGTCCATTCTTATTTTAAGACTATCTTAAGTAATGTCTTGAGATCTAATGTGGCTCTCTGATTGGCTTATGAGACTGTACTTAAGACAGCCACAAATATAAGAATTGACTATAAATACCAGCCTGATTAGTCCATGACACCTTCAGACTGTACTTAAGACGGTCCTAAATCTAAAATCCTATGAATACTCCGCGCCTTTTGTCATCCTTTAGAATTAGATTCCTTCATTCGAAAGATTTTAGAGAGTACGGCATCATTTAGCGTATAGATCGAGTCGAAATGTGAGGACCGTAAAATACATGAGCTAAAAAATGTATGTACTTTGGAGTAATTTTTTATGCGGTCGTAATAGATAGGAGAAACGGTGGAAGAATACCGGGATTAATTATTAGGTGCAGTTATAAAAAAAAACTCATGAGCACCGAATGACCGAAATTATACGATGTCGTTGCCGTCGACGTCGTCGCGAAGCTGCCAGGAGTACGACGTAACGAGATAAATGCAACTTTGCATAAATGTGGCGCGACGACGGCTAAATGAGAACGCGGGTTGGAAATGCCATCGAAGCGCGTGCGCCTAATTAAAAAGTAAAACGCTACATAGCCTCGCGTACACAGTACGTTACGTGCACGCGCATAATGCGCGCCGCATTTTCGCTCGTTTTGCATCCGGCGAACTGGCTGCCGACGCTACCGCTCGCTTTAGTTTGAGGCTCGGCGAACCGTGATATCCCTCGAATCGCGATATAGAACGCGCGATTAACGAAACAAGCGTAAATCACCGGAATACTCGCAGGCTGATTCAGAAATTCCCTCATTAGAACGGTTCGCCCCACGCATTCTGCCAGTGAATTTGGCTACTATCGCGAGAATCGTTGCGATGTCGAGCATTAATTTGGGCAAATATTAAGACACGTACTTGGTACTTCGTACTCAAATCCGAAGTGGCCGCATGCTCGCAAGTCGTTTTCTACTCCGAATGTTCCTTAAGCCATGTTCACGCTTGCAATAAAACATCATAACTACAACGCCATCGCATAAACACGAGTGTTCGGCGAACATTTAAGCGCAACATAACTTTGGTGCAAGCATTCATTACGCTTAAATGTTTGGTGCAATGTTACAGGAATCCACACGGTGTTGCGCGATGTAATCAATGTTACAATGGGTATTCATCTTTGAAGGACGGCATTTATCATTTAAAAACAATTATTGCTTTTGCTCACAAATAACATGTAAATAAAAAATCTATTATATATATATATACAGGATATAACTGAAATAACGCTTACTAATCATACAATATTATTCCTAATAAAGAACTGAGTCGAAAAGTCCTTTATCATTTTGCAATTTTCGCAATACTTAACAAAATATTAATTTCCAAATATTGCCGAATAAATGGATAAAATCGATGTATAAGACAATTTTAAGATATTTTTCAGTGTTCTTTATGAAATATTTTGAAGATTTTTCT